AAGGAGGAGAAGACTAAGAGGATAAGGAGTGAAAGAGGTTCAGCAGGAAGAGGAGGAGGAGGAGGAGAAGGAGGAGGAGGAAGAGGACGAGGGGAAGGAGGAGGAGGAGGAGGAGGGAGGAGTACAGTCATAGAAACGGTTCTTCGAGAGAGAAGGTGAATTATTAAAAAAAAAAAAAAAAAGGAGGAGGAAGAAAGAGGAGGAGAAGGAAGACGAAGATTAAAATGAAGAGGAAGAGGAGGAGGAGGAGAGGAGGAGGAGAAGGAGGAGGAGGAGGAAGAAAGAGGAGGAGAAGGAAGACGAAGATTAAAAGGAAGAGGAAGAGGAGGACGACGAGAGGAAAACAGGTGAAAGAGAGGAAGGAATCGGACTAGGAGGAGAAGGGAGGAGGAGGAGGAGAAGGGAGGAGGAGAAGGGAGGAGGAGTATACATGTACAATATACATAGCGATGTTTCCCAGTACTGACCTGCTTTAGAGCGGCGACGATGTTATTTAGAATGAGCCTGGTCTTCGACTCATAATACTTTCGAAACGTCTGTATCCAACCCGGATCGTTGTGAGAATGCGGAACAATGAACACCTTCAGCTTCTCCTCGTTCCATTCATTCCCTGAGTAATTCAATTCCCACCCTTGAGTCCAGACTCCCCCAGGCTCGTTCAGGAACGGGATCTCCTCCATCAATTGCAGAGTGGTCGTCTTCCACGTGGAATTTGATAGCACGCTCACGTCTGTCGGGATACCGACTGCCTCGTCGACCCGATCACCAGTGTGAAATTCCCCCCCTACACCCCCAACGAACCCACAGTCCTCCTCAGTCGGGATGTCGATTGTCATACCCCTCCTCTTCCCACTCCACCCCCCCCTCCTCCTCCTCTCTCTCCCATCTGCACTCCCTCCTCCTCCTCCTCCTCCTCCTCCTCCTCTTCCTCCTCCCCCTCCCCCTCCACTCCCATTCAAATCTGTCGGGATCTCTGCCACCGTAGTCGGGTTCCCTAGCTTAGACCGGCTGCCAACGACAAGGCGGCGCGGATTCGATCCGTTGTCTGCTGACGTGTCAATCAACAAGCGGGGCAACGTTGGCGGGAAATCTGACGTGGCAGTCGTCTTGCGATCGGATCGATCGCTGCGGGAGGAGAAGAAGGGTCGCTTACTTGTCAGCAGACCAGGAGGTAATGGGTCGTTGGGCAGATGAGCAGAAGCACGATGAGCAAGATGGCCGTGGCCGTCGGCAGACCAGGAGGAAGCATGAGAACGAGCCACGTGGCTAACGTCTTGATCAGGAGTGTGGGATGCTTTAACTAGTCTTACTAGGCCGTAAGCAATCAAAAATGCCGACAAACACATCAAGCAGATCTGGGCAATTGCCCAGATCGGCTCCATCCTTCCCGACTGCTTAGACGAACGAGGATGACCGAGCTTCGGCCGCAAGCCGTTGCGACCCATCTCTCTCTCTCTCTCTCTCTCTCTCTCTCTCTCACACACACACACACACACACACACACACAACACACAAAATGAAAAAAAATGGAAAATTAAAGAAAGAAAAAGAAAATTAATTGTTGCCAATCAGTCGATCGCCCATGACCAAGGAGTCAAGAAGCGGAGAGCTGATGGCCGGCCTCTTTGCGTGGCCCACGCAAAGAGGAGGGCAGCAGTTTTGCTCGCACCTGCAGCGAGAGCCTGATTGCCTGCTTACTGCGATGCTGATGTTGGTTTTTTACCCCCCTGCTTTCTCGTTTCTCGTTCCTTTCCCGGAATTTTTTTTTTTTGATTGTTTGTTTTTCCCACCCTTTCATTCCCGGCTTCTTCCTTCCTTCCTTCCTTCCTTCCTTCCTTTCTTCGTTAGCGCGTTTTCCCGCTAAAACTTTTCTTGGTTAGCGCGCTTCCACGCATCAGATATAAACCGATCTTGCGGAAAAAAAAAAAAAAAAAAAAAAAAAAAAAAAAAAAAAAAAAAAAAAAAAAAAAAAAAAAAAAAAAAAAAAAAAAAAAAAACCTGATCAGAGCACTCGATCTTAGCCGAACGACCAAAAAACGTTTTTCCCTTTCCTTCAGTAAAACGTGGACCAAAAAAAGAACAGAGGAGTGAAAAAACAAAAAAAAAAAAACAACGAAAGAATTCAATGGTCAGTGCACCAGTCCAGTATGCTCTCTCTCTCTCTCTCTCTCTCTCTCTCTCTCTCTCTCTCTCTCTCTCTGTGTCTGTGTGTGTGTGCTCCCGGGGGGGGGGGGGGGTGAAGTGAGCTCTGTCACGCAGTAGATGTTCCCGCCATAACTTTCCGCTGTGAATAAAACAAGATTCCCGCCAAAATGGCTTTTCCTCTTTAATTAATGTTTCAGGGCTACGGAGGGGTGTCAAGGCACCTGACCGCTTGGTATGTCTCCATAGTTGGATGGCCGCACAATGTGCTTAGCGAGGGTATTTAAGGAGTGCCGCCACTACCGGTAGCAAGAGGAACCTGTGTCCCGCTGCCCCGCGCAACAGTAGGGGCAGGACGAAGTTCTCAGTCTCAGCAGAATCGGCACAGTATTTTCTCAGCTTCGTGCTTTGATATCCTGTCCAACTGCTTTCTTATTTATTTTTTTATTTTTTATTTTTTTTTGAAAGGGCGGCGGCCTTTTGACATCAATGCATTGAAGCTGACCGGGCCCAGATGGAACCCAAACGTTGTCCCAGTGGTTGGGTTGGTACCTAGAGTCCCAGATGGAACTCAACCGTGGCCCCAGTGGTTGGGTTGGTACTTACCGTAGATCGGCGCAGTGCGAAGCCAGTGCCGCTGATGTAGTGTCCAACCATAACGGTTGTCGTAGGCACAATTTTTTTTTATTTTTTATTTTTTTGGGAGTAGGCACAATGCTACTGTAGTTGCATTAACATTTATTGCACAAGAAGGACTGAGGCGAGGGCCTTAGGGACCCCACAATTCAACCCCCGGAGTTATCCTGGCAGCCTTAGGGCCTCGCTGCACTACTTTCCAGATGCACAAAAGACAAAAAAGATGGCAATGTATCTTTCCATGTTCTAGCGGTGGATTCAGTCTCATTTTGCACAGTTGGAGAGCAGTGCAGCGAGGCCCTTAGCCAGTTTCGCTTGCGAGCAGAGGGTCGAATCAGGGCCAATCAACCTGTCAGAAGGACCTGTCAGAACTTAACTTTCTAAAACGCAAAAGGAATTTGCCCCTCTGCTCCAAACAAACACTTAGAAACTACACTAAGGGCCTCGCTGCACTACTCTCGACATGCACAAACGACAAAAATCTTCACCGTGTATCTTCCCATATTCTAGCGGAAGATTCACTCTCGTTTTGCACATTCCGAGTGCAGCAAGACCCTAAACCTCACAAGTACATGGGGTCTCTCTGCACTACACTAGACTCTCGAAAAAAATTGTGAGTGCTTCTAGAGCTGTCAGAGGTCTAGAACTCTTGAAAAAAGAAGCATAGCTCCACTTACTCCAGACTCAAGAACAATAGAAGCACTCACGAATTTATCAGGACTACATGACAGCCCTTCCACAGCGCTAGACGACAGCGCCAGCTCTTTCTGATGGTCGGGGCAGGAGGCACACTCGCGAAAGAGGCCAGAGCGGGGGCAGGAGGAAGGACGCTAGAAAACCTGAGCGTTGCAGGCTGTGAACTCTGTACAAATCGAGAGTGCCCTTCGAGAGAGATCGCTTTCTGACAGCTCTCGAAGGGTGTTGTCATGAGTTCCAGTCTATAGTAAGTGGAGCGAGGCGTAACTCTCGAAACTTCGGGAGTCTAGAGTAGTGGAGCGAGGCCCATGGGCACCTGGGCCGCGGGTCTGACACCTCAAATTCTGGACTGCAAGGCTGGGGCCGTGTACTTGTGGTTTAAAGTTTGCTCTAAAGTTTGCTCAAATTATTAATTCAAATTGTCAACTCAGAAGCCTTTATCAATTTTGTTGTAGCAGTAACAGTTACTCGTATTGTCAGCCTACTACACTATCTATACTACAAGTGCTTGCACCGGCCTAAATCCGGCCTGTGATCCAGCCCAATGTCGGCTGGTTGGAACTAATGTTCCAGGTAACCATAACACTCACCACCCACCAGCCCACTAAGATGCCTCTTGCAGTTCGAACCAAGAATGTAAGGAAACCGAGTGCCCTGGTTCCCAAAACTAAGTGTCTATTACCTGTTCCTTTCCCCCCTGACTATCTGCCTCGGTTCAATGGTAGAGGGTGTCTCTGATCCACGGGGACAGCACCAATCCCTCGGTCCTGTGTATTGCTGCTAACTTGAACTGAACGGTCCATGTATTCATGAACGATCATAATTGTCTTCGGTTACCTCTGCCAACTTTCGCCCTCTTCCTCCAGTCTACTCTTGCACAGTGTTGTGGTGCCTCACTACTATGCATCCCTACCGTGTGCCTTCCTTTGCGGAGCAGTTATAACCCGCTTTCAAATAGAACACGGGTCAGAGGTGTGCTCTATTTGCGATGCAATGTTAAAAGGCTGGGTAGTTGAAGTTTGGTAAAAGAACTCGAGGCATTGTAGCCTTGAAGGGAAGTAATCAGGCTCAAGAAGAGGGTTATCGCTGCGGCTTGGAGAGTTCGACCATCTTCTTTCTGTTTGTAGCCTATTTTGGAAATAATCAGGCTCAGGGTGCAGTTGCTTTACGTTTCGGTCGTAGTTCGACCATCTTCTTTGTGTTGGTTGTGGTTCGACCGCCCTTACTGCGTTTTGACCGCCATTGCGGGCCCCTCAGGCGTTTGACAAGGCCCTCTTACGCGAGTTTGAGTGCATCCATCTGGGATCTGAGCAACTTTTTTATTTTTTTTATTTTTTTTTAAGGGCCTAGTGCCCAAGGCTTGTATTGATATTTGAGAACATTGAGGTCGGGGTCCTCACAGTCTACCCGGAGTAACCAACATATGATGATGAGGATAATGATGATGATGCTAAAACTAATTATTTTCTGCTAATCAGAATCATTATCTGAGCAGTCACACTCTAAGTACTAGCCAATAAGGAAGAATGATCAGGAAGGCTAATCAGAATGTTCTCTACTCAGAACTACAACATGAAACCCTATCCTAATTCCAGGTATTTCTACCAATTCCAGCAATTGTCATCTGATGTTGTGTTGTGTTCTTACTCTCAATCTAGTATGTTGGTTTGAAGAGGAAGGCGGCAAGTAGGATTGAAAACCTGTAGAACTGCATCAAGGCATTATGGGAGGTCTACCTACCGATTGCGGGAGCTCTGCCGGAACCTAGACGATGTTCTGGAGGCAGGGAACTTTTAGGTAAACTTTTATCATCAATGCCTTATAGGAGGTCTACCTACTGATTACGGGAGCTCTGCCAGAACCTAAACGATGTTCTGGAGGCAGGGGACTTTTAGGTAAAGTTTGATTTTTGTGTGTGTCACTGTATCAATATTGAAGTACAACCCCCTACTCTATCTGCTATGTATGCATGCATCCCTATAAACTTGTATTTTTATTCAGGACTCAACCCAGATTAAGTGAAAGGAATGCATGTGTGAAAATTCATTTATTATTTGTTTTGTTTGAATTCAGACAAAAGGGATGAACTGGGGGAAGGTGGGAGGAAGACAATTTTGCTTGAGTTTGGTTGGATTTTAAAAGGTCAGATATTGTTTATAAAATTAATTGTTTGATCGCTTTGTTTTATTTTGTTTTTCTGAAGTACCAAGCATTGTTTTTAAGATGAATGGTTTTGTTATTATGGTTCTTTAACTTGTTTTTTTCACAACCATAGATTGTTTTTAAGATGAATGATCTGATTGTTGTTTCTTCGGGTTTTTTACAGCTTGAACTTTCAAGGTCAGACATTGTTTCTAAGATGAATAGTCTGACCGTTGTTTGTTTCTGGGTGGTTTCTGAACAGGCTATGGACATTGTTTCTAAGATGAATGACCCAGAGTACCCTGCTTTTTTTTCACCCAAAAAGGGGGTTGAACATTGTTTGTAAGATCAATGACTCAACTTTTTTTAATGTTTCTTCTAAGGGGGGTTCAGACCGAAAGACTAGGCATTGTTTCTAAGATAAATGGTTTAGTATGAGGCCACAAACACATAATGTGAACTGAGAATAAGACTCTATATTTTTATTATCTATATCTATATATATATATATCATCACAAACAAAACTGTCCGGTAAACCGTCGGCAGAGAGAGAGAAGAGGACAACAAACGAGGGGCTGTGACAAACTGTTTCGTCGGAGTTTCACCGACTCATCAGGAGGCTGAACCCTCAACAGTCTGCAGAAT